CAATTGAATTAAGTTTCTCAACATTGGTATTCACCTCATTCACAAAATTCATAAGATCACTGTTAGCCAGATTGAATTGGCATATCATAAGCCTTCAAAAGATGATGTGTTGTGCTGTACGGCCACCTTGTTGAAAAATTTCCTTCAAGGCAAACATCACATCACGAGCTAGACTCTCCTATAGTCTTAGATCAAGTTTTGAAGCTCCTCGGTGATTGTTGAATTGATGACTCTTCCGGCACAACAGTTGATGGCCATCTCAACTGGATTGTCTTGATCTATCTTCTTTGAGTGCCAGTAGCCTAAAACTCTGGTCATATCAAAGATAGCTCTTTTGGTTCTGAGATTCCAGCGTGATAGGTTGGATCCATCTAGATTGAGGGGTTTGTTTTTCTGGATAAATTTATGTATGTTGTCATGTTTGTGATTGATTTCTTTTATACATCCTCACATAAGACCTTCCATATCCGGTGATGATTTGTGAGATTTAAAGATGGTTTTGCTTTGCTTATATTTCTTGAGGCCAACAGTCTTGTCACTGAGATCAGATTCTTCTCTTTCTGATGCAGATGAGGTAGGTAGAATGAACAATGAAGGATTGATGGGAGGAAGCAGAAACAGGGTATTTTGTCTTGTATTGACTGTATCTTGACTTTCTTTGGTTTGTGAACGGTTATGATTTTGATTTTTAACTTCTTGGTTTTTGGCGATACATTTAGATTAAGAGGAACAAGATTGGAAACAAGTGGTATCAGATGGTTTTGAATTTGGATTAAAGGCTAACGGCATATGAGAAAAATACAATGCTGAGTGGCGGCTCAGGCTTATTTGGTGAGTGCTTTTGTTACTGGAAGACTATGATCTCAAGTACAAACGTGTGGTAACACAGCTCATAACCTATGACAGATAGGTCAACCGGCACAGTTTGGTTCTTGTCCAAGGTATCAGCTCCACAAGTGATGATGATATGGAAGCCAATGCCAAGGACGGAGACTATATCTACTCTAGCTGTACAACTGTCATGTGATCTGCTGTGGCGCAGTCATGTACACACAACACTCTACAAGACTATCTGCCCCCAATTTGAACAATTTGATGAGGATGATAGTTCAACCAGTTCCTTCTCCAACCCAATCATATCATTCATTTATGGGATACCAAGTAAAAACCAGGAGTTTTTTTAAAAAAGATCCCACCCCAGCGCTACAGTCCCACATCATCTGAGCTTAACTATGCCCCTCTTTGTCACCTCACCGTAGAAATCTTTAAGCTTCTGGCAGGTCATTCCTCATGAAATGGTACATTTTTGGGTACCAAACACATTGGTGTATGCTGAAAGGAAGGGTTCTATATTTGTGATGTAACATTGCTGATTTGGTGCTTTCAAATTTCATCCGAGGTATTTTAGGTGGTCTTAGGTCATCTATTAGAGGAAGTAGAACTCTTTTTTTGCATTTACAACAAAGGTTTCAAGCAGTGCCAGAGTGTCTGTTGGTCACAAAAGCTATATCCAGACATGTACAAATGCATGACAAATTGTATACTTGAAGCTTAACAATTTCTACAGTGAGGTGAAGCGGAGAAGTAAAAAATCAACATAAGGGGACATAATTTTTGGAGCTCACACACCAAAAATCACGAGTCCCTAACTTAACACAAGTCCCAAACTCGCAGGGGCTTTCATACCTTCACAAGCTCGGTGCCTTGGAGAGGGACTTGTCAATTATCAGAGCTTTTTGGTGTACCAGCAGGGACCCGATGAGAGTCGCTCGGGTAAAAATTCTATACAGACAATTATCTTCTGTAGTTGCAACAGCACGCAAAATCTGAGGAGAGCATATTGTTCACACTTTGGAAATGAACAACTTACCTTTTTCAACCAAGCTCAACCTGCTCTCTCGCAAGAGCAAGAGGATTGTGAAGAGCTTTTCGCGGTCAAATGAAATTCACAATGAAATCCAATTTAAACTGATTAAACTGACTTGATTGACTAGAAATTGATTCGTTGAGTGTTATTTTCAAAATACAGCACTTTCTCCCTGCACATCAAATTTTGATTTCAAAAAATTCTCGTGGTTCTTGAGAAAGCTAGGAGGGAGATATGGAAAATCTGAAGAGGCAGTTTTGAAGGGGATGGTTCAAGTTATCTCCAGTTGAAAGGGGCACGGGGGTTTATTGAAACAAAGTGGGTTTTTTTGCGGTTTTAAAAAACCTCTCCGCCAAACTCAATTTGAAAACCCCCTGTCGAGCCACCAAGCCCAGCTTATAATTCATAAGGGGTCGATAGATTTTTGCACTCATCGATTTACACTCGTTATTGAGTGTAAATCGGCTTGTGTGTAAAAATCTATCTGGGGGGGGGTCACGTGAAAATTTACACTCAATCCGGCGGATTTTCTGAAGTGTAAAAAAACATGTGTAAAATGTGGAGTGTAAATTTGTCCAAATTTCGGGTCAAATTACAATTTTGCCCTCTAACTTTTACATACAAGGTTGAGGGCAAAATAAGTCACGTGCAAAATTGTGTAAGGGCCCCAATTTTCTAAATTTGCACTCAACCCCTCATACACTCGAACTTATATGTAAACCCATGCAGTGTAAATTTACAGAGGACCACCCCCAAAATTCAATTTTACACGCATGAACTTAATCATGTTTACACGCACGAACTCAATCCAGGATACACAGGCGCCCGACATAACCGACCGGCATATGCACCCACCTGCAGAACCTTTCCGACCGGCGTACCTGCTGCCCTAACCTTCCCTCACTCTCACTCGCCAAAGGTCCAACACCATCAACCACGCCAACCATCCCCTCGATGTTGACAAAAGCAGCTCGCCCCTCTTGATTTTCTCCCAGATCCAACCTCAGCAGCCACCCTCTCCCACATCTTTACTTGATGCCATCCTGCGCTTACGGTACCTCACTCCTCTCAGAACGTGTTTAGACTTGACACCCCTCTCGACCTAAGCACCACCGATGGAAGTTACTATCCTGCGTCGAGTCCCAAGGACTCAACTCGCTTCCCCCCAACCAAATGATCGCTTATGGATCTATCACTCACCCTTTCAAGAATTAATCATCCTCCTTTGGTTGTATCGCTATCATCAAACCTATCGAATTTATCAGATTTATCAAAGTTGTCGACTCTATCAATTCCTCCGAATCAATAACTTCCATCAACTCTATCGAATTTATCAATTCTACCAGTTCTATCTTCCTGCTCACTCCCGCTATTCGTATCTCAGCCTCAATTCCCCAAACCTTCCTGTCTCTATCTCTAATATCATCATCCCGATGTCGGATTCCGAGAACACGAGTTCTTTGGATGGTCGCTTGTCACCTGACCCCGTGGTTATCTCGGATCCTGTTGCTACCCAAGTGCCGACTTTGACTACACATGTTTCTCCTACACCAACGCCACCTGCCGACACCAAATTGAAGCGACGTCAGCCCCAAAAAAGAGGTAAAAAGTTCAAGACACCCATTCCGGCTACCGGAGAACTTCAAACTTTCCTCGATTACGGCTGCACCGTCGATTCACAAGGATATCCAACCTATCCGAACGGCGAGACCGTCTTTGTGCAAGAGCCTGGTGCTGATGTCGTTAACTTTGGACATATAGCTTTTACTCATACTCAGAAGTCTCGTGGGTCTAAGAAAGGGGATTGGAAAACGATTTGGTACACCTGTCTTGGGGTGTTACAGTGCAATGACGATTTCTGCGTCTATGCTGGGCCACCTCCTACCGCCAAAGGAAAAGCAGCCAAACATATCATTCAGTAAGTGATTGAACTGTACCTTATCTTTTGTGTTTCTCTACTGACCTCTTGACTTACTTACTGACTGACTTTCCAATGGCATAGGTACCCTGTCTGCCCCGCGGTCGAGTGCAGTGGTAAGCACATTTGGACGCAATGCAAGGAGACATCCTGTCGAGTAGATGTTGAGAAGTCCACCGGTTGGGCAGTACTTCGCCACTCGGGAACCCACAACCACCCTTGGCCAGCTTCAAAGAAGGCCGATCCAATGGCCATGAAGGAGCTCACCGAGGAGCTAGTGAAGAATCCAAAGGCTGGTCCTTTGGTTCTCAAGGTACGCCTTTGAATTCATGCTGACTACTACAGACGAGCTGACACAATTCTTGTTCATTTCAGGTTGGTCAAGCTGGAGCGGGGCAAACCATCACCCCACCAGTTGTCAACATTCACCCGGCGTTCTCGAATGGAGGGCGACTCGGTTACCTACGACGTAAGGTGTTAGTTGAGAAAGGCCTGATGCCGGAGAAGGAAAGCAAGGGCGGCGGCGATCGATTGATAATGGACCTCATGCACTGGGGCAGGTGAGTCATTCAACGCGACGCCTCCTGTACATCCTCTTCACCGACATCTGTCTTTCTAATGATGGCGTCGCATTCAGGAACGGCCTGCGCCTGATCTCGACCTCTCTCCTTGGCGAAGACGTCCACATTACGTTTCAGACGGAGTGGATGGCCGAGCAGCTTGTGCGCCGTGACCAAAACGCAAAGATCTATTCGGGCGGCCTTCTCAGCGATGTCACCTATCGCTTCTTTCACAACGGATATCTCCTCACGACTTCGATGTACAGCAATGTCATGCACCGTTGGATCCCCATCCAGCTGACGTGGATGTGGGGGCTGGACATCAAACATTACCAATCTCACTTTACCACGCTCCTCAAGCAAATCAACGATGCTGATCTTACATTCCACGAAAGAGACCTCTTAACGCAACAGGTAGTCGACTTTTTGATAGCTCAGAAGAAAGTTTTTGTGGCAGTCAGGTGGTGGGCGCAGTTTTGAAAAAGCAAGGCGCGCCCGGGCGCTAAATCCACTCAAAATGACGCGTCAAACTAGCAGGGCGCGTATGGGCGCGCCTTTTGACCAAAAAAATCTTTAAAAACCCAGAATCGAGCTTGTCAAAGTTGCTCAGACACAAATCCTAAGGGGGTTGTTACAAAAGCCAGTTTAAATAAAGATTTTTGTTTTTTTGAAAAGGCATCTCAAAAGATATCTTCAAGGTCCCATGACTTTGAATGTCAGCCCCCGAGCTTTGACCTTAGCAAAGCCAAAGGAGCTTCAAGTTAAACATAACCTATATAAAATAACAAATATAAAAATACACATTTTATCTTCTTTAATATTTCCTTTAAATAACCAACATCGTGTGTCTAGTTTCAAAGACAACAACTTTCTACCTTCTATTACATAAAATAAAATAAAAAACCCTCACACCTTGTGTCTAGTTTCAAAGACAACAACGAGGATACCACATTCCCCATTTCTAGAAGTGGAGAATATGCTATGTTTCAAAAAAGACGAATAGAAGCAATATTCATCAATTCATGCCTAGTTTCGAAATCAGAATCACACTAAAAGACCTTTTCCAACAAAAGGATGTTACTTACAAAGAACCCTGGAAACACATCACTACCAAAACTAAACCGAAAAGGGACTCAAGGAATTATCCGTAATGACCGCCAAGTTAAAGATGCCTGAATAAGAATGAAACCACCTTGGCACTAACCAAGAAAGACCCGTCGAAACAACCTATACCCTTAAACCCTTATAATCACATCCATAAACGTCCAAAAACCCCGTACCAACGAGGAATGTGTCTCAAGCAGAAATGACACCATTCGTTAGACCTACCACATCATTCGAGTCAGTCCTGGGTTTTGGCCAGTATAAATAAGAGGCTCTTCTGACTAAGAAGGAAGGACCTCACCTCCTTCAGCACCCAACATTTTAGACATACTAAAATAAACGTACTAGTTCTCGAAAGAATCCAGCTCGACATTCACCGTTTAGTTCCATTCCTTAGAAACTTGTTATCGAAGAAGCGTCACCCCTTTCTTTCTTTAAAAATCAAATCTCACTTTTTAAAAAATCCTTCTATCGTTTATCGGCTAAAGTTCTATCACCGTCCCATCGTACCTAGTACTTTCTGGCTCTGTTAGACACTCGAGAAGACCTTAGTACCTTATCAAGCCACCTTCCTTGATAACTCTTGTTACTTACCCTTTGCCGGTAAGTAACTTCCTTGGTCATTATCCATTAGGTTTCGCAGCTCATCGCTGACGAGATCCCTGAGGTTCGACTCAGGCTACTCTTAGATACTCGTATCTCTGAAGAAACACCAGGCCTAAAGCCTGACCAACTTCTTCTGTAATCCTACAGTAGGCCTCGGAATAGTTAGTTATATTTACCTTCTCCTTACTCTTAAAGCGTGATTCAATTAATATCTGCTACTATCTGTAGTACAAATATTGACTAACCAATTAATAAATTAGTTATCTGATCCTACGTATCCAGTAAGATCATTTGTCAGGACTAGAAAGTAAGTCTTACTAGACAACTTACCTTCTCATATAGTAGCCACCCTGACATTGAAGGAGCATCAATAACAATAATATTCGAAGTGCGGGACTCTTCTACACAAGCTTGTCTTTTTTCAAAGTCGGACAAATCAAAGAGACTATCTATGTAGCCATCCTCTAGCCCAAGATTAGGGTCAAGAAGACCTTCTACCTGATCAACCATACTGACAGGAAAGATTCCGGCTTCAAATTCTTCAAGAGCATCAGGTCCGTCAAAATTGTTGTCCGAGTCGCTTTCACCACATTGATCATCTTGAGCAGCCATTGAGATACTTTTCTTTGAAGAGCTTTGCTCAAAAGACAGTCCCATCCCAATTTGTGAGATCATCCTAAGTGTATCAGGATCCATTCGGTTACGGTTTTTGGTCTTTGTGCCTGTCATATCTGAGAACAAACCTTCAACACCACCTGCATGCGGCACCAGCTCAAGAACCCTTATTGCAAGTGTCTTCAACTGTTTAGTCTGAGGTGATATCATGACTCGGAGCCAGTAGTCCAATGGCCTTTCATCTATTAGATATGATATGATCAGCCACCTCTACTTGAATTGACTTGATCATTTGTAAAAACTTCACCTTTTTTGAATGAAGAAAGTATATCATTTCCACTATAGTATTGAGGAACTTGTTCTTTAAGACTTAAAGCATCTGATTTGTCAAATCCCCAAGATCGAGCAACATTCACAATCATCCGCGTCATTTTTCCAATGGAGAACTCGCGGGAAGCTGCTATTTGACGACACGATGGATTTAAAAAGAAGCCGATGACATAGATATCAGCTTCATACATTCTTGATTGTTGATGCAAGACGTTCAAACAGCGGTGCTTGAAATCGTTGAATCGTTGGTACATATGTAGATCGATGTTTCGAAGTCTACAGTATACATTAGAGAGTTCGAGCCAGACATCCCCAACGGTTGAATTTGCACATTCCAGTCGAGCAATTGCATCAACAACGGGTCGAAGGACCTTGACCAAAATTTGATTAGATGTGAAATGGTCGCAATTATCAACAATCAATCGAATGTTCTTATTCATGGCCGGCGTATCAATGCTTTGATTGTCCAGCATTGCTACACATCGACGGAATCCGAGCTCGTGCTCTTCAACACATAAGCACACCTTAGCCATAGAAAACCATCGTGTCTCACAGGCTGTCTGTAGACCATGTGATACATTCTCTTGCTTCCTCCACTTTGCCAGGTGCTCAGCCCAAAATGCCGAGGATGTAAAAAAGTTTACAAGTGCTTTGTTATTAGCCACAACATCCTTCATTAAAGGATGTCCAAGGATATCCTTTGCAATGAGATTGAAGGCATGTAGGCAGCACGCTAAGCCAAAGATATGGGGGTGGTCCTCGATAAGAAGCTTCTGTTGATAAATTAGAAACCAGCTTTCAGTATATATTTTCAACTTACATATACAAAATTTAAGAAAGACAAAGCAAACCCTGAATTTGATCATGACTGATGGTGAGTCTGATACAACAGCACCGATTTGATGCCAGTTGATGCTCTTTTTAACGAGAGATTTCTTCAGAGAAGTCCATATGTTTTCTGATGTATGGCGTTCTTGATGAAGATCGAGGACATCTAAGAACTGCTTGATGTGAGTTCCACGTAGTATAAGAACAGCGTAGATACTGTTCCTTGAGCAATCGGTCCAACCATCAAGCGAGATAGTTAAGTTCTTTTGCTGGCTTAACTGTGATTGAACAGAAATTTCGTGCTTGGCATGTAAGTGCGGAAGGATTCTATCCATCATGATGTAACGGGAAGGGATCTTGTACGAAGTCACACAAAGCCGTTTTTGATACTCTTGAAAGTATCTATTCTGAAGGAAGCGAAATGGAATGTGGCCAGATATCAAAGCTTTGAGAAGCAGTTCGTGTAGCTCGTCTGTCTTTTCCTTTGAGGTGGGAGTGAAATGATGAAGTGTGGCCTGTCGATCAAAGCTGTGGATGAACTGAGGTTGAGTGAGGGGCTGATTTTTCGCAGAGACTGTCTGATCCTCAATGTTGTCGGATGTTTGTTTACTCTTCTTCTTGGCAAGACTGAATTGAATGTATGTTGATTGGTCTTCTTTTGATATACTCTTACACTTCTCCTTGATGTGATTAAATAATAATGTTGGCTTTCCATCAAGCTCATCAGAGCAATGCATACATTTTGCTTTATGACGACCAGCAACAAAACATCGTTTGCTGTCCATGAGAAATCCATTCCACCGTCTTCCATGTTTCTCGGTAGGAGCTTCCCACTTGACAGTATCCTTAGGCATGTTGATAAAGCAGAAGTGATCAAAAAGTAGGAGATATGAATTTATTTTTTGATTCAGAAACAATTTTGAAGAGATCACTGATCATCAACCATCCCACATGACCAAAACATGGCCCCATCTTATCAATGGGCGCGCCACCCCCTGTTTTGAGAAATCCCAGGCGCGCCTGGGCGGGCGCGCTCATTGGCGCGTCAAATGCGCCACGCCCACCACCTGATGTGGCAGCCTACATGGACGTCTTCAACGAACACGATCCCGCTAAAGCTTTGGACAAGCTTAAGGGGTGCCACGAACACTTCCGACAGTCCGTGACTCGGGTCAAGAAAAATCGTAACATCGTGGATGCTAGTCAAGTGGTAAGTGTCCTCCCAAGTGCTTATTACCCATCCTATATTGCTGACGAAGCGTTCTTTTTTGGTGGGACTGCGGACTTGATAGAGCCAATTCGAAAGATTGGCTTACAGCCTCCTCGAACCTAACAAGCCGGGTGGTAAGACTTTAGTGGACAAATTCGAAGAGATCTTTCGCCTTTTTCCGAAGAGCAAGGCGTGGCTCGACTGGTGGAACACCACCGACATCCACTCGATGTTATTTTGTGCTCGTGAACGCCTACCTCTCGACGACCCCCCCCTCCCGGAAGAAGACCCCATCGATGTGCCGGACACGACGAACGGGCAGGAGTCGATGCATCGACAATACTACATCTTAACGTAAGCTGTTAGCATTGTTGTTGAATGCGCATCGGTGCTGACTTGAATCCTTAGGCCCGGTCATTGCACCATCATCCAGGGCTTCGTGCAGTTATTGTTATTTGCAAGATCTCTCAAAAGCGACTACGACCAGCTGCGACAAGGGATTCCAGTTAAGTATGGTTCGAACTGGGAATCGGTCGTCGAAACCCTGGGTTGGTCGAAGGAACGCACGCGTCGTCGTCCCGAGGTCAACGATGAACGTCCTCCTGATACAACTGACGGCCTTATTGGTAACAAGAAACTTGGATGCCCAACGGGTTCTTTGAATGTCAATCGAGACCCCCACTCCTCATATCAAGCGTACTCTGCAAGCAGCCAGCCGGGAAAGCAGAATCGCTGCTGGGAAACGGCGGCGATGGAATCTTTTTTTCCAACCTTTACGCCTCTGTGGATTGAAGGAACGAAAGGTAAGAGCAAGGACATAGCGTCCAAGCTCATACGGCATTATTCCTCACGGCTCTCGTCTGAGATGCATCGCGCAAGTCACATCAAGTCTGTTTTATCGCGTGGACTCAACTCACTCCAATCGGCTGTCCAACTGTTGTCACCTCCGTCCTTTGTGAACGACGCCTTCTGTTCGGCGGATTTGTTCATTGACCATATCTTGATGACGACTAAGAAGAACGTGCCTACTGCAGCGGGTTGACAATTCGCGTTTAACCTCCATCGCGACTTTCAATGTTCCAGTTATGGAGACCATCAAGAATCCGAGTCTGCGGTTAAAACTACGGTGGCCATTACCAACGACCTATTTCACGAGGCCAACTTCCGTTACTCAGATATCGCCAGCCTGATCTCGCTTTGGCAAACCGAGGGTTTATTCTCGAAGAATCCCCGATGCTGTACCGATTGCCTCAAGATTCATCGTGAGCAACCGAAGCCTACCCCTAGCACACCCGCGGCTTCAGGTGAGTCTGAGGTCACCTACCTGAAGGTCGAGCCTTCAGGTGAAGTTCCACGATTCTACGAACGTTGCCGATTGGACTTCACGACGAATCCAATGAGTGTTTACTTCCACCTCAGTCGCGTTGGGGGCCTTGGGGACGAGGAGCGCGCCAGCTTCATGGGCGAAATGGATTGGCCTGAAACGTTGCGCCTCAACAACGTCCAATATGAGATCGTGTCTCGAGGTTTTTGGGCTTACAGCCATTACTGGTGTAAGTTGGTCAGACACCTCGATGGTGTACGCGGGGTGTGGTTCTTTGATGACCGGAAGGATGATGGGCAAGCCCAGCTCCTTGGTTGAGACCTGGAATTGATCGCTGGCGCCCAACCGCACACTAGCTGGGTCATTTACTCACGCAAGGCCACCATCGACAAACAGAAGATCATCGATCGTGGCATTGCCAAGAGCACTGCCAAGAACCCCGACTCTCTGGGTGATATCCCCTTTGTGTTGCCGGAGGACTTAGATGGCATTGAGGACCAGGTGCTCGAAGACATCCATCCTGATGTGCCACCTATGTGAGGCACAGCCAATATGGCTAGGAAAGCTTTCGTAGCCACCGGTGAGTTTCTCATCTCAATGGTTCCAGAGATCAATTGACTTATATTATGGCCATGTGCAGCAGGTAAGGCCGGAGCAGGCCTCAAAGGTGACCTGCCAGTGACCTCTTTGGACGAGACCAGTAAGTTAATGATAGCTCAACCTCCCATAATCGATGTCGAGATCGCGGACCTATTGACTTCGGTCCCAGGTCAACCTCACGACTACGAGGCTCCAGACCAACCCGCTTTTGGTGGTATTACCAAATTGTTGTCTCAGAGCGAGTTAGCCAGGCGGGCCTTTACCCAGACTAATGACAGTTGAGTCACTTCACTCTCTTCAAGTATGGGATGGCACACTGATCGCATATCGTGTTTTCTCGCAGGTCCTATCCAGACTGCAGATGGTCCCAATCCGTCACACGACCTCATTCCAGACCCGCCTGCCACGTTAAAGGTCCCGGATGGCGGGGACGCTGTGGGCACTATTGACCCGGTGGAGCGGCTGATACTCCGTCTGCCTAACAGGCTGTCGGCACCAATTAGCAGCAATTACCCGCGCCCTTCGCCTCCGACAGCCAAGAAAGTCACCACAAAGGCCAATAAACGAGCTGTGGTCCCGGGTAAGGAAAATGTAGAGCCGGAGGGGGTGCAAGGGGTGGTGAAGAAGGAGAAGGCTAAGGCTAAGGCTAAGCCGAAGGGTAGGAAAAAGAAATAGCCTTAAAGTGGACCGGATAAGCGCGTCTTCGTTTAAATAATTTATGCTTAACTTGTAGCTTGTCCCAATACACGTGTTTTCATTTATCTTTTCAAAATCAATAGCCTGTACCTTGTCCTGATACACGTGTTCTCAGTTTATTTATATTTTCATGGCAATGATCGTGAAGGTAAGCGCGTGAGTCAGAATTTTCTTTTTGTGTCTTGTTGTCTCTGTGTGGGTGGCTTCAAGATGAAATACATCGTGGCCGATTAAGTGGTGGAAAAAAAGAACTTGTGCGCATTTTGGTCTGGTGTCGTGTCTTCATGTGAGCTGAGCATACGGTTACGGAAAACATGGGGCCAAAAAAGGGGCGCCGTCATTCAATTTTTTTTTCTCTAAGTGTCGAGTGATTTGCACTCAACAAGTTGGGTGCAAAATTGTACCTGTGGGGTGCCATTTTAGGATTTTGCCCTCCCAGCATTTACACTCAAGATGCAGTGTAAAAGCTAGGAGTGCAAAATTGGAGTTCTACCCACTCAAATCGAATTTTGCACCCTCATTCTTTTGCACTCCATCTTGTACAGTCAATCTAGATTAGCTTGGCCAATCGAGAATTTTTATTTTTATTTTCAGACGTATACAGGCCAATACAGGCCATTTTATAAGCATACATAGCCTTCAACTGCGACACCACATTCAGTTGAATGGGCCCGTTTTGACGATTCAAGCTTCTGACTGATCAGCATCTATCAGCATCAATCCATTCCGTCCAAACCCATCCTTAAATCACTTGAATCCTCTTTACCTCGTCACTAACTATCCTTTGAAAATTGTGCATATCATCTAGGCTTTCATCCCGCGATCCAACCACCCTTTCGATCTCGGCTGTAACAACTCGGCTTTGACTCAAGTAAGCTCTTTGAATATTGTTCTCATATTGCGATCGATCAT